GGAGAGGGATGAGGGGAGCGCGAGTCGATTCCAGCGCGCGACCCGTCAGCAGCGAGAGGCGCAGGATGCCTTAAAGAGCGGCAGCCGTCCCGTCGATAAATAGAGGATATTGTCCGTCGAGTCGTGCGGCATTACTGCCCCGCGCGCACTTAAAAGTAGTGAGTCCTCAAATCGAGAAGACCATTTAGTCTCGCCGCAGTAGCTTCGGACTCCCCACTCAGACCCACTCCAAGAGTATCTTGATCTGCCAGCCAAAAAAAATGTGTTGTTTTTTTTTCGTGACGCTTGCCACTTTTATTTACTCGTATTCCGTAGGTGCGTTTACGAAAGCCTACCGGCGTGGGGGAGGCCGCGAGTGGGTTTCGATTTGGATTATACCGGCTCTGGAGTGCAGCGCCACCGCGCTCGCGCGCCGTTACACTTGCACTGGAGCGCCGGACAGAGCAGCGCGCGCAAAAAGATGCGGAGGTCTTCTTGCGGCCCAGCCAGCCGGGCCCAGCCCAGCGGCATTGCGCGCGAAAAGGAGAGCGTCCACGCTCCGCCACGCCGCACCGCGAGCACCACAACACTAAGAATACACACGGCGGCCTTGGAGCGCCATAAATATTTCATCCTCGGCATGATGCATTTCCGATCGCCACCGCCGCCGCAGCCGCAGCGGCACCTGCGGGGGGAATCTTCGCCAATCATGTTCCATTCTTCCGCCGTAAAGTGACTTTATGGCGCGCATCTTGCCAAGCTTAGTAAACACTAAACGGGTTGCAGCTGGGCGGTGGCCGCCTTGACTCGGTCGGCGGCACATCGAAGGGGGCGATCTTGGCGTCGGTGGTAGAGAAACCGAAGCGCCACTTCCACTCATCGCTGAGCCCGCGAATCGGTCCCGACAGAATGCAGCGTCAGTACAGTAGGTCTGCTGGGCTGGGTGGAAGGCGGTAAGCGCTGAAAGGGGTGAGGTGGGGGGGAGTCCTCCTGAGGGCCTGAGGCCGTCCGGAGAAAGAGCAGTCGATCGATTGACCAATGAATGACACATAGGCGAACTGCCTTCATTTTCATGTCAACCTAAGCTGCTCATGCAACTAAGTTTTTTCTTCCCACGAGACGTCCGTGAGGAGAGAATGGTCGAAATCTAGGAATCGGACTGCACCCATGGTAGGTGTTGTGTTGGACCGAAGAAAGTCAGTGCGATTTTCTTATATTATTATGGTGTCATTTTGGTGTGTCACTTTTTACCACCTCCTTTACCACTCTTCCTCTTTCGAGATTCCAGGGGGAATATCCGAAAACACCTCCTCTTTTTGTGGTCAAAATGGGAGCAAAGGAGCATACATGCAGAGCACGCGGCCGGCTTACAAGGGGGGGGG